TCAGAATATTCACAATTATCTCAGGAGCAACCTCAGAAAATATCTCAACGTGCACCTTTAAATTTAGACTTGTACTTGACTGCGGTGCTCATGTTGACTTGAGCCGCCCAACTGCGGTTATTGTAGACTGCGTGAAAGCCGGTAATATAGACGTGTGTCATCGAGTGAACACCGAGGGTAGACAGAGATAGCAAGACCTAAAGTAGGTCACTCATGTCAAAGCAACCGGAAATGCCTCTCGGTTTCCCAATTACCTTCGGGGGGGATATGTCATTGTCACATTTACACGTGACCCTGTGTCAAGAAAGTAACATATTTTTCAAAGATAGCTTTTCACACTTCTGTGTGTAGATCTCTTTCGTTGACTTAAGTTGGCTGACAGTATTTTATTGACGGGATCGCACCTGAGTCTTTGACGTGACAAGCGAATACTTGAACCACTCGGCTACAATTCTCTTGTGAAGTTGGGGGGCACGGGTGGCCCAGTCGTCAAGGCGCCGCAATTCGCTGTGCAGAGTTGCGTCCCTTGGGCACGCCAGAAACCTATGATTTTGGGTTCGAATCCCGATTCGCCCCGAATTTGTGTCTAGGTTTGTCAGCACCATACCCGTGTTCGTGGGTCTCACCGAAGTGGTAAACGTCTGAGATCTGCATATAACTGGAATAATGTTAAAATTGGGTTAAACCCAACTCACTCACTCACCCATTCTTGTGAACTTGTGCAAGTGGAGCGGGACACGTGACTGGGATAGTTGACCGATTATTATATTTGTTGTTTATTTGTATTTCACGTGCTTATATGTATATGTTTATTATTTAAGCACGTGAGAGGTGTCTGACAGTATGGCAAGAACCTGTTTGCAGAGATGCCGATTTCGTTTGGGAAATCCAAGTAGATTTTCTAATCTACACGCGTCTTCTGTCGATAACATCTGTGTTATGAAACCGGATCGTTCCGGAATGAACAGACTTAATAAAATTAATTTGTTCACCCAGACGTACTTGTAGAGCGCCAAATGAACTCGCTCGCGTAAAACCTGAGTTTTCTTTTAAACATTAGATGTAATGTAGTGCGTTGCGTTAGTTTTCGGGATTTTTTACTTTAAGTTTTTCTTTCATATTTCAAACAGGAATTTTTTGGAGCTATTTTTTATTTTAGATTCATGTACATTTTTACAATGGGGAAGAACACAGGAAAGATAAATAATAGGTACACCTATGACGCTGGCAAAACAACGGAACACGTCATTGACATCAAACAGGAATATGACATTGTCCGGTACTCGCCGGGGTATTTATGCAGAGAACAATTACACATGGTCATGAGGAAGATGTAAGTATCTACATATAGCATCTACTTCATGTGGAATTTTTTTTTTGTCATTACGAAGGAGGAATCACATCGTCATCATATTGCAAATCATTCTCGTAAGTTTCGCCACGCCACATTACTCATGATGCGGACGGGATGTGGTGAAACGATGCTGAAATCATGGTTTAGGAAGTAATACATCATGACTGCCATCGTGAACTAGTGTATGCAGACACAGATGACAACCTCAACATACCATGATATGGCTTAGTCTGTCATACAGACCCTGAAACAAATATATCCAATACAGCCCATGCAAGTCTATTATGTTTGGCAAGTCTAGATTACTGCAGTATTAGTCTGTGATACAGACCCTGAAACAAATATATCCAATACAGCCTGTGCAAGTCTGTGATGTTTGGCAAGTCTAGATTACTGCAGGAAAATGAAGAAAGTCTCTGGGCTTCTTTTCATCATATTTTATAACTATAATTTAACAACTGTTTTTTTCTGTAAAATATGTTCATTTCAGAGACTTGAAGTTAGTCTAGATGTGGCTATCCTATTTTCAAAAGTCATTACAGATGTTGTTTTTCATTTTTGACAAAACTTTTTGAAAGCGAAAATGAACTCCTAAACATGTTATTTTTAAAACTTTATATTCATGAATTGGAGCTTTAACGCACAGTTGATACTTTAGGCCATGCTAATTTCAGACAGATACGTTGCTGTGAATAGAGCGTCAGGACAAATAGAGCGCCAGGATGACTAGCACATCATGACAAATAGAGCTTCAGGACCAATAGAACGCAGGATGAATAGAGCACCAGGGTGAATATGGCGTCAGGATTAATAAAGCGTCATGGTAAATAGAGCGTCGTGGTAAATAGAGCGTCAGGACGAATAGAGCCCCAGGATGAATAGAGCGTCAGGACAAATGGAGCGTCATGATGAATAGAGCCCAAGGATTAATAGAGCCTCATGAACAATAGAGCGCCAGGATTAATAGAGCTTCGGGACAAATAGGGCTCCAGGATAAATAGAGCTTCGGGACAAATAGAGCGTCAGGATCAATAGTTCGCTCGTCACGCCAAAGACCCGGGTTCGATTCCCGACATGGGTACAATGTGTGAAGCCCATTGCAGGAATATTGCTAAAAGCGGCGTAAAACCATACTCAATCACTCACTCACTCAGGATCAATAGAGCTTCAGGACAAATAGAGCGCCAGGAGAAATAGAGCGCCAGGGCAAATAAAGCGTCAGGATGAATAGAGCGTCAGGATGAATAGAGCACCAGGATGAATATGGCATCAGGATAAATAAAGCGTCATGGTAAATAGAGCGTCAGAATGAATAGAAAGTCAGGATGAATAGAGCCCCAGGATGAATAGAGCTTCTGGACCAATAGGGCGCCAGGATGAATAGAATTTCAGAACAAATAGGGCGCCAGGATGAATAGGGCGCCAGGATGAAAAGAGCGTCAGGACAAATAGGGCGCCAGGATGAAAAGAGCGTCAGGACAAATAGGGCGCCAGGATGAAAAGAGCGTAAGGACAAATAGGGCGCCAGGATGAATAGAGCGTCAGGACAAATAGGGCGCCAGGATGAATAGAGCGTCAGGACAAATAGGGCGCCAGGATGAATAGAGCGTCAGGACAAATAGGGCGCCAGGATGAAAAGAGCGCAAGGACAAATAGGGCGCCAGGATGAAAAGAGCGTCAGGACAAATAGAGTGCCAGGATGAAAAGAGCGTCAGGATAAATAGGGCGCCAGGATGAATAGGGCGCCAGGATGAAAAGAGCGTCAGGACAAATAGGGCGCCAGGATGAAAAGAGCGTCAGGACAAATAGGGCGCCAGGATGAAAAGAGCGTCAGGACAAATAGGGTGCCAGGAGAAAAGTGGGTCAGGACAAATAGGGTGCCAGGAGAAAAGTGAGTCAGGATGAATAGAATTTTAGGCCGCGGGGTGACAAGCTGACGCTTCAATCACCAGGCTGCGTCCTGTTACTTTAACAGTTAAATTATCATCTGTAAAAGTGTCGCCTGCAACTTCATTGGTGTTGTCAATATTTCTAAAATGTTCAAGAACAAGAATATGTTCTTGTACCACTTAGGGCCTGGTACAAACAGAGAGTATTTGTGTGGTGTAGAGATGAGAACATGATATATAACAATACATATATTTTTACAAGTTTTTAAAGTTATTGGCGACGTCCATCGTGGTATATTTGGGAGATAAAGGTATGTGATTATTCTTGTGCAGAGATTTGTGGCATATACAGACTCATCCAATTTGGGCTTTACGTTGGTCTCAGCTGACACATGGGAAATACAGTCCTGGCAACAAGACCTGACCATTCTCTTGGTGGTTCATGATATATTTTAGGTTGTCTTTATCAGTCTGGGTGGGTTGCCTATTTCGAACAGTGCCGTGAGATTGCCCCTGAGGTCTGTGTACTGTGAGCATGAGTGCAGGAAGTAAACTTGTAAGAGACATAAGCTTCCTCCATGAGTCGTCTTGCTTCAGTACATTCACTATCGAACCATGGATGTTTGGTGGCTTAATTAGTGGAGGTTTATTAATTGTAAATAGGATATCACAGAATGAGCCAGCCTTTGTTTCTCATTCTTTTCTGTTCTTTGGTATAGGGCGTAGAATGTCATCATTCCCAGATGTCTCCCTTATTCGCCTATAACTCCATTATTCCCCTACAACAATCTTATTCCCTTAATAACTCCCTTATTCCCTTAATAACTCCCTTGTTCCCCTATAATTCCCTTATTCCCCTACAACTCCCCTATTCCCTTAATGAATCCTTTATTCCCTATAACTCTTTTATTCCCAAATAACTTCCTTATTCCCATATAACTCCCATATTCCCCTATAAACCCCCTTATTCCCCTATAACTCTGTTAGTACCATATAACTTCCTTATTCCCATATAACTCCCATATTCCCTTATTAACACCCTTATTCTCCTATAAACTCTCTTATTCCCCTAATAATTCTTTTATTTCATTATAACTGTTATTCCCTCAATAACTCCCTTACTCCCCTATAACTCCCTTGTTCCCCTATAAACTCCCTTATTCCCTCAATAACTCCCTTACTCCCCTATAACTCCCTTGTTCCCCTATAACTCCCTTATTCCCCTATTAACACCCTTATTCTCCCATAACTCTCTTATTCCCCTGATAATTCTCTTATTCCATTATAACTGTTATTCCCTTAATGAACTCCCTTAGTCCCTTATAACTCCCTTATTCCCCAAAACTCCATCATTCACTTTGACTCCCTTATTCCCCAATTACTCAGATTCAGCAATAGAGATGTACAGCACAAGACACTGACTAATACGTGGGAAGCGGTAACTACGCATCAGCTATTGTTGCTATTCTCGTTTCTCACATTTGCCATGAGAATATGTCCGGAGCAAGCGCAAGAGCCGCAGGCATAAAAAGGGAAATCCCCTACACCGATGAAATCAGACCACGTGGGATCCAGTAAGGGCCTTCCCCGCTAAGAATAGATTTGAGAAAGCCCAGGGCCGGATTATATAAGCTCTCCTTACGACTGAACGTCTGAGGTCCTGCTTTGTGCCGTTGTTGTTTGACAAGCGTGACAGCTCAGTCTGCCCCTAACGCTACACTCTACAACGCTTGTAACACTTGCTTTATTTCCTACAGCGGGCTGATAACACAGTTACCAGAGAGTATGAAGGAGGTTGTGCTAGGACTGTACCTCATCTTGGCATCATGTGCCGTGGTTCTGCTCGTGCCGGTGCCGGCCGGACGTCACTTCTTCGTGTTCTGGAAGACCGCCTCGAGCCACCTCATTCCACGGACAGAACACGCTCACCACAACATCAAAGAGCTTCTGCTGGACTATGTGAGTATATATCTGATTGTGACGATAGCTAAAATGTCCAGAGTTACGTTGTGGGCGACGCTACACCTGATCGTGTGATTGTCCGTATCATGCTTCTACCGTGGCGCCATAAGTTTATTTTAACCCGCTGATGTCATGTTTATTTTGTAATACGTAGTTACCATGACAACTAGAAGAGTCGTTGAGACCCATGACGGTGCCGATCTTGGTCAAATTGTTTTGATCAACGAAGTTCAGATTCAAATTTAACGAATCATTGCTGCATTGGTGGCGTCCGTCGTCCCAGCAGAAGTCACTGGGGCGTCCGAGCCTCAAGGGTGCCCGCGGACGTGACATTGTGGCGGGGCGACATAGTGGCAGTAAAAGCATGGGATCTGGTCTCAGTATACCCCAATCCGGATAGGGTCAAGGGCGGAGAATAATATGATATTGATATGTGTGCAGCGGACGGACGAGTTGTTGTGCAATGCAATGCACAGTTGTTGTCACTATGACGTTATCAGCCACACAGGGACTGCATAGTAGGGACTTTGTTGGGGACTAACAATAGAAATTGTAAACATTCAGTGCTCAGATACTATGTTGTGTTTGTGTGTAAAAAGTCGTGGTGTTCAAGTAGGTACACATTATTAAACGCTGAACAACCTAGCTGACACACAGGTTTGGCACACACACACACACACACACACACATACACCCACTCCTCCATTCGTCGTCATCGACAGTTTTAATATATTTTGCAGCAACTACTTCCACATATGTGAAAACACCATCACTACTACATCAGTACCGTGATTAACCGTGGAAATATTACAATGTATTACACGTGTTATACTACAGGTAGTATGTGTTACATGTGTTATACTACAGGTAGTATATGTTACACGTGTTATACTACAGGTAGTATGTGTTACAAGTGTCATACTACAGGTAGTATGTGTTACAAGTGTTTTACTACAGGTAGTATATGTTACACGTGTTATACTACAGGTGGTATGTGTTACACGTGTTATACTACAGGTGGTATGTGTTATTCGTGTTATACTACAGGTGGTATGTGTTACTCGTGTTATACTACAGGTGGTATGTGTTATTCGTGTTATACTACAGGTGGTATGTGTTATTCGTGTTATACTACAGGTGGTATGTGTTACATGTGTGATACTACAGGTAGTATGTGTTATTCGTGTTATACTACAGGTAGTATGTGTTACATGTGTTATACTACAGGTAGTATATGTTACACGTGTTATACTACAGGTAGTATGTGTTACAAGTGTCATACTACAGGTAGTATGTGTTACAAGTGTTTTACTACAGGTAGTATATGTTACACGTGTTATACTACAGGTGGTATGTGTTACACGTGTTATACTACAGGTGGTATGTGTTATTCGTGTTATACTACAGGTGGTATGTGTTACTCGTGTTATACTACAGGTAGTATGTGTTATTCGTGTTATACTACAGGTGGTATGTGTTATTCGTGTTATACTACAGGTGGTATGTGTTACATGTGTGATACTACAGGTAGTATGTGTTATTCGTGTTATACTACAGGTAGTATGTGTTACATGTGTTATACTACAGGTGGTATGTGTTACAAGTGTTATACTACAGGTGGCATGTGTTACAAGTGTCATACTACAGGTTGTATGTGTTACAAGTGTTATACTACAGGTGGTATGTGTTAAATACTATGAGTTGTATGTAAACGTGTTATTCTACAGCAGTATGTGTTACACGTGCTCTACAACAGTGGCATGTGTTACAAGTGTTATAGTACAGGTAATGTGTTGCACGTGTCATACTACAGGTTGTTTTTGTTTCACGTGTTAAATACTATGGTGTTACACGTGTTATATATCACCAGTAATGTAGGTGCTACATGTGTTATATATCACCGGTAATGTAGGTGTTACACGTGTTATATATCACCGGTAATGTAAGTGTTACATGTGTTATATATCACCAGTAATGTAGGTGTTACACGTGTTATATATCACCAGTAATGTAGGTGCTACATGTGTTATATATCACCGGTAATGTAGGTGTTACACGTGTTATATATCACCGGTAATGTAAGTGTTACATGTGTTATATATCACCAGTAATGTAGGTGTTACACGTGTTATATATCACCGGTAATGTAGGTGCTACACGTGTTATATATCACCGGTAATGTAGGTGTTACATGTGTTATATATCACCAGTAATGTAGGTGCTACATGTGTAATATATCACCAGTAATGTAGGTGTTACACGTGTTATATATCACCGGTAATGTAGGTGTTACATGTGTTATATATCACCAGTAATGTAGGTGCTACATGTGTTATATATAACCAGTAATGTAGGTGTTACACGTGTTACCTATCACCGGTAATGTAGGTGCTACATGTGTTATATATCACCGGTAATGTAGGTGCTACATGTGTTATATATCACCGGTAATGTAGGTGGTACACGTGTTATATATAGAGGATTCATCACGAGTGTTTTTTAATATGGGAAATATCAACCGAGTCTTAGTTAATCGGTATTTGTCGAGCCTTTGGCGAGGCAAATACCGATTAACGGGACGAGGTTGATATTTCCCATATTAAAAAAACACGAGTGATGAATTCTATTTATCATTTTCACATTTTTGCTTCCAAATTAAGGAATAATTGCATGAAACATTAACATCAGCAACTTGTCGAAATCTTACGTATAGATCGTGCGTAGTGATACTTGTTTTCCATAGCCATGTAAACCAAAATAAACAATTCGCTGAGAAAAAAAGTTCCTCGGATTATTTTAAACAAAATACTTGAACAGACTTTTGCAGAATAATTGAAACTTTAATAACGGTAACAACAACGATTCTGTGTAATCTGATTATATCTCTGGTGTAACTTCACTTATAATATATAGTTTCAAATCAAACTGCTCGCTCTTCCGGTTATCTAATTTGCATATCTAATTTGCATACTTATGTCATTGGGGTATGACATACATGTTTTTATGTCATAAGCTTATGTCATGGATAAATGCTTAAGTTAAATGATAAATCACCGGTAATGTAGGTGTTACACGTGTTATATATCACCAGTAATGTAGGTGCTACATGTGTTATATATCACCAGTAATGTAGGTGCTACATGTGTTATATATCACCGGTAATGTAGGTGGTACACGTGTTATATATCACCGGTAATGTAGGTGGTACACGTGTTATTCTATGTGTTGAGTGACTGCATTATGAAAACAATGTTTAGTGAATGCATTATGAAGAGTGTTGAGTGAATGCATTATGAAGAGTGTAGAGTGACTGCATTATGAAGAGTGTTGAGTGAATGCATTATGAAGAGTGTAGAGTGACTGCATTATGAAGAGTGTAGAGTGAATGCATTATGAAGAGTGTAGAGTGACTGCATTATGAAGAGTGTAGAGTGAATGCATTATGAAGAGTGTAGAGTGACTGCATTATGAAGGATGTTGAGTGAATGCATTATGAAGAGTGTAGAGTGACTGCATAATGAAATGAGTGTTGAGTGAATCATTATGTAAACAGTGTTGAGTGAATGCATAAAGAAGAGTGTTGAGTGAATGCATTATGAAGAGAGTGTTGAGTGAATGCATTATGTAAACAGTGTTGAGCGAATGCATAATGAAATGAGTGTTGAGTGAATCATTATGTAAACAGTGTTGAGTGAATGCATAAAGAAGAGTGTTGAGTGAATGCATTTTGAAGAGAGTGTTGAGTGAATGCATTATGAAGAGTGTCTTTAATGTTCGGGGTATCAACAGTCAGCTATGTCATGTGCTTGTGGTTAAATTGGTCCCGCCCCGCCACCCCTCGGCCTCGCTGCCGCCCTGGCAACCCTCGGCCTCGCAGCCGCCCCGCCACCCCTCGGCCTCGCAGCCGCCCCGCCACCCCTCGGCCTCGCTGCCGCCCCGCCACCCCTCGGCCTCGCTGCCGCCCCGCCACCCCTCGGCCTCGCAGCCGCCCCGCCACCCCTCGACCTCGCAGCCGCCCCGCCACCCCTCGGCCTCGCCGCCGCCCCGCCACCCCTCGGCCTCGCAGCCGCCCCGCCACCCCTCGACCTCGCTGCCGCCCCGCCACCCCTCGGCCTCGCAGCCGCCCCGCCACCCCTCGGCCTCGCTGCCGCCCCGCCACCCCTCGGCCTCGCTGCCGCCCTGGCAACCCTCGGCCTCGCAGCCGCCCCGCCACCCCTCGACCTCGCTGCCGCCCTGGCAACCCTCGGCCTCCTCGCCACTTCGCCGCCTCGCCGCCCCGTCGCCCCGCCACTCCGCGGCCAATTTTATATCTTATTATTTTATATGCATAAAGTTTCGCATAACATTTCCTGACAGTTGTTTACGAAAGTCGACATCTGTATCTAATTAGACTCCAAATCTCGTCCAGCGGCAACCTTATCTCAGTGCTGTGCACACAGAAGCGTCCTGCGGTACGTTAGGCTGGGCCTGATCAGCTGTATAAATAGTCCATCAGTCGGCTGTACCATGACCGACACAAAACTGACTGAAAGCTGCAAGTCCAGCACAACGCCTGGCGTATCGGGCTGACAAGAGACCAGAGTACACGGAGACGTTTGCAGTCCCAGCTATTCCTGTGTATTGTTCGCATGTCGTTTCTCTCAGTGGGTCTCGAGTCTGTTCGCGTTCATGAATAACGTCACGGTCATGCAGTCATCAATGGAGTCAAAATAATCTCTCTCGTTTCGTTAAAAATCAGTTTGACACACATGATCGTATAATGGTGCCTTTTAAGTTATTTTTAGTTGTTTATATTTATTTAAATTCGTTATTTCTTTTCATTTTTTCACAAAATAATATTTTGGGAGAAATTGTTGGTGAGGGGCGAAATATTCGTAAAAAGGCTTAAAAAAGATTGTCTACCGAGCTATGAGAATGATGTCATTAGGGAGAGCTTAGGAAGAAAAGGGATCCCTAGCCATAAAGACTGCAACAAATGTTATATTTGGGAGAACACTTTCTTAGTAAAGTACAGGTGCAAGTGCTTTTTGGGGTTGAGTCCCATCCGGCACACGAAGTCAGCGATCTAACCTAAATGAAAGTTCGACAACTGGTAGTCTAGATCACATACTTAGTGTACCCCTCTGACAAGTGTTAATTGACACGACCCCCATGGCCGAAAGCTATGAATACACAATGCCATTAAGAAAGTGATGAAATGTGGTAAATGTTATATTTGGTATACCACTTTCTTAGTAAAGTACAGATTCAAGTATTTTGTTTGGTTGAATCGAACGCGCGCGCACACGCAGGCACACACGCACGCACGCGCACACACACACACACACACACACACACACACACAATCACACACACACACAATCACACACACACACACACACACTGTGTTTCTATTCTAATTACATTTTCTGAACCTGCTGTGTATTCCTTCCGTTTTGTCGTACTCATCACCTGGAAACACCATCACACCATTAAGTGTAGCTGCTAGTGAAAGAGCATCGTTGTAGTATAGCGGGGAGGGGGGGGGGGGGGGGGGGGGGGGGGGGGGGGGGGCTTGTGGTGAAGGTGTTCGCTTGCCACACCAAAGTGACGAGTTCGATTCCCCAAACCGGTACATTGGGTAAATCCCATTGTGGATGTTCCCAGCTGTTCCCCGACGACTAAGAAGCGGCACAAAAAACATACTCACTCACTCACTCGCCTTAGGCCGACTGGACGATCATGCCACAACGCAGAAGTTACTTCCTTACGTACATGAACTATAAAAACCACTGGACGTTAATAGGGATACTGAGATCCTCCGTACCATTTCCACATACGTGTACTGACTTCCAGGAATCAGGGGCGGAACCGGGGCGGTTATAATTAGACTAACACTAAGTCAATGAAAACATGTCTTTAAAATAATTTTAAAATTTTTCGAAAGAACCTTTCCTCATCTGTTGTTTTCATAACACTAAGTCAATGAAAACATGTCTTTGAAATAATTATTAAAAATTCAAAAGAACCTTTCCTCATCTGCTGTTTTCATAACACTAAGTCAATGAAAACATGTCTTTAAAATAATTTTTAAAAATTCGAAAGAACCTTTCCTCATCTGTTGTTTTTATAACAATAAGTCAATGAAAACATGTCTTTAAAATAATTTTAAAAATTTTCGAAAGAACCTTGGCTCTTCCGCTGTTTTCATAATGTGAAAGCAAGCAAGCTAGGTTTGGTTAGTTTGATCTAGACTTGCCTAGGCTTTTAGTAAAAAAAATAGAAAATAGAAATTCCACAGTCATGGAGCAGGACTACAGGGCTGTGTATCTGGTATAATATAGTATCTGCCAAATCATGGTTCCACTGAATGCTTTGGGCAAGAAAATAAAAACTGGACGTTTTCAGAACAGCATGGAACGACAATGAAACGTTACTAATGTGATTCCACCCAAGTTAATGTCGTACTGCTTTAATGTGACCGTTCTGAAATCTTCTGAAGTGAAACGTCGTGCCAGACACGTGGAATACCAGGCTCTGCTGCGTGACCCAGCGTTCGGGGGGGATTAAGCAGCGCTAGAGGAGCTATCAGATAACAGCGAGGCGGTGCAGATTGGGTGTCGTGCATTCGGTGCAAAGAGTACTTTTGAAACACTCCGCGTGCTGTTGTAATGAAACAGACCCAGCACCGTGGTGGCAGTATCACGTGACATCTACCCCACAGGCAAAGTTATTCAGTGGAATTGTAGAAGATTCAGGGGAATTGGTATATTTCAATGACAGGTCCGAGGGGCTCTGGCTCTAATCAGCCAATCAGCACTGAGGTAAACCTTATCAGCCAATCACCAACATCTCTGATCTCTGCATCTCGAAAACGAACAAAAACGGACAGTTCCAAATGCAAAATAATGTAGGCAACGCTCTTATATTGCTGCACATCTGACATTTGTGAGATGAAGTGCACAAGCACCTTCGCATCCCTTGTTTAGGTATGGTACCTAGATTTTGCTGACGGTCCACCTGGATCTCCGTTGCCTGATGTTCACACTGGGAGATCTTGTAACCCAGGACCACGCCGTGGTGGTGTACATGTGTATCATGCACACATTATGCAGTGGTAGGATTATTTTACATACGTTGTATCCACCATCAATCGCTCAACAAGGTGGGGGTGGTGGGTGGGGTGGGGGCGACTATCCTAACTGTTAACCCGCCTAGGGGTACCTTTCAGCAAGAGGGTCTAAACGTGATGGCCACGAAAAGCTAATTAAATAAATTATGCAGCGTAAAACAATAATCACTCACTCACTCACTAGATGTGATGATGATGATGATGTTGTTGATGATGATGATGGTGATGATGGTGGTGGTGGTGGTGTAGTGATGGTGATGATGATGGTGGTGGTGGTGGTGGTGGTGATGGTGATGATGATGGTGATGGTGGTGGTGGTTGTGGTGATGGTGGTGGTGATGGTGGTGGTGATGATGATGATGATGATGATGGTGGTGGTGGTGGTGTAGTGATGGTGATGGTGATGGTGATGATGATGATGATGGTGGTGGTGGTGGTGGTGGTGATGATGATGGTGATGATGGTGATGATGATGGTGTTGATGATGATGATGATGATGATGATGATGATGATGATGGTGATATGATGATGAAGATGATGATGATGATGATGATGATGATGATGATGATGGTAGAAATATTACGGGCGCTTCCAATGGAGCATATTTCGCACTAGAGCCTTAAAGTAACATCGTTGCCGGGGCTAAATATCCATTGTGAATCACTTGGATATGTAAATTGTTCTTCTTTTTGTCGCAGTTCCGGTCAGGGGTGGTGAACGTGACGTCGGGTGGGAGGCTGGAGTCGGCCAATGAGCTGTACCGCTCCCTCAACTTGTCAAAGTTCCCGAGTCAGGGGGTGTTGAAACGGGAAGGAAAGAAGCCTTTTTTCTTCATCAAGGTAGGTACACGTTACCATAGACCGGAGATTCCCCTGTTATACCAACAGGAAGCATACCACGACAGAGACCTGGTACACTAGTTCCTGAAATTAATGGACAGCCTCCGTGGTCTAGTGGTAGAGCGTCCGACCGGAGAGCGGAAGGTCCGGGGTTCGATTCCCGTTAAAAGATGGTACTTGTTGTTACCCTGTCTGGCGCTCGGCATTAAGGGGCTAAAACAAGGACTGGTCAGCCTTGAGTCAGTATACTGTGTCTGAGTGGGGTATTCATGTTAAACTGCGGCATGGTATCTGAGTGGGCTAGCACTATACATCGGACAAGTACAAGCAGCCACACACACGTGCATGCACGTCGCTATATAAGTGCAATAATCTTAATAAAGCTTGGACGCGACGTTAAACCCCATTTCAGCTCACCTGAAATTAATGGAACAAAAGCGTAAAACTTTATTCACTCACTCCTTTCAGGGCACAATTTAGGGCATGCGGTGTTACATATCTCACACTGATAGCCGTCCTGTAGATGTCTTTCTGGACAAAGCTCACTAGGGCACCGCCATTGTGGTCCAGCGGACAGATCGTTTTTTCCGAGAGCGGAAAGTCGGGGGTTCGATCTCTGTACTCATTTAACTATAAATCTTTGGGGCGGTCGGGTAGCCTAGTGGTTAAAGCGTTCGCTCGTCACGCCGAAGACCCGGGTTCGATTCCCGACATGGGTACAATGTGTGAAGCCCATTTCTGGTGTCCCCCGCCGTGATATTGCAGGAATATTGCTAAAAGCGGCGTAAAACCATACTCACTCGCTATAAATCTTTTGATATTATTGACAAAATGATTTTTGGCCTTTCCATAGGTAGTGGAGTTTGGAGTTGTATGTGACACGCGACCCTATATACGACATATAATTACGACAGTGTATGTGTTTTGTTCTACCCAGGGTCTGTTGAAAGAGGACTACAGGATGTGTGAAGTCTTCAGCCGCGTCCTCTCCTACGAGGAAGACTTCCGCTGCAACAACATCACTGACCAACTCTCGGAGTACATCTGTGCCCGGATGAAAGGCATTGCCCACACTGTGAAGCACATCTCGCGATCTCTCCTACAGCAGGTGTGTAACGTTTGGGAATCCTCTCTGATTTCAATCAACTAAACTGGACAGTGTTTGGTCCCCGACCCAACACATCTCCCCGAGGCAAGGGCGTTACCTGACGTTAAAAGCCCAGTTTCCTCCCTTGCCGAACTAGGCTGGAATTACGGAGTTACATTTTGGCTGGACTAACGAGTCTATGCATAGTCCAATCAAAATCGCGTAACGAAGTAAACATCCGGTTCGTGAAAAAACATGATTTCAGCGTGCAGATTTCGGTCGACAGATTAAAAGGGATGTGTATCGTCAACTGGGCGTCGATCAATAGTTTGCTAATATTTTCATGTCTTTTAATCAAGGTGCTCAAGTGAGTTGATGCACTTCGCGAGGTAAGACCCGTTTCATTACAAAAAAGATCTTGATTATCGATCAGATTGTCATGACCGGGCGCCGCCATTTTGTTTGAAGCAAATGCAAGTGATATGAGAGACGGAATCTGATTGGTCATAGAAGGGACATAACTCGTATCGACCACTGGTAGCGCTACGAACGAGCCAGGAAATACAGCCCAGGTCGGCAAGGGTGGGAACTGGACTTTAACGCCATTTAACGCCCCTGCCTCTGGAAGATGCGACTCACAAGGCACAAGCTCCATTCCCTATGTTAACGTATGGGAGTTACCCGAAGACCGACATGGTGAACAGGGTCTTTTCCTTGAGAGAGGCTACATCTAAACTCGAGGTCATGATTCGAATAAGAACTAATATATGGCCTTGGGGGAGGCTGTTGGTGGTTTATTGTGTTCAGTTCAACCTAAGCTCGGTGACTGGTGCACGCAATGCAATGAACACTGAAATGCATGCCGCTACGCCAGTCGATTACAGATCCTAAATGAATAAGTGAGTGAGTATGGTTTGATCTTACGTTAACATTGTGACGTTGTAACGCTGTGAGGTGATGTTGTTAACGCTGTGACTTGATGTTATGTTAACGCTGACGTAATGTTACGTTAACGCTGTGCCATGATGTTACGTTAACGCTGTGCCATGATGTTACGTTAATGCTGTGATGTGATGCTACGTTAACTCTGTGACTTGGTGTTGCGTTAACGCTTTGACGTGGTGTTACGTTGACACTGTGACGTGATCTTACGTTAACATTGTGACGTTGTAACGCTGTGAGGTGATGTTGTTAACGCTGTGACTTGATGTTATGTTAACGCTGTGACGTAATGTTACGTTAACGCTGTGCCATGATGTTACGTTAACGCTGTGATGTGATGCTACGTTAACTCTGTGACGTGATGTTACGTTAACGCTGTGACTTGGTGTTGCGTTAACGCTGTGACGTGGTGTTGTTAACACTGTGACGTGATGTTATGTTAACATTGTGACGTAATGTTACGTTAACACTGTGGCGTGATGTTACGTTAACGCTGTGAGGTGATGTAACGTTAACACTGTGATGTGATGTTGCGTTAACATTGTGACGTAATGTTACGTTCACGCTGTGACGTGATGTTACGTTAACACTGTGGCGTGATGTAACGTTAACGCTGTGACGTGATGTTACGTTGACACTGTGGCGTGATGTTACGTTGACGCTTTGACGTGGTGTTACGTTAACGCTGCGACGTGGTGTTACGTTAACATTGTGACGTGATGTTGCGTTAACATTGTGACGTAATGTTACGTTAACGCTGTGATGTGATGTTACGTTAACACTGTGACGTAATGTTACGTTAACGCTGTGACGTGATGTTACGTTAACAATGTGTCGTTATGTTACGTTAACGCTGTGACGTGATGTTGCGTTAACATTGTGACGTGATGTTACGTTAACGCTGTGACGTGATGTTACGTTAACACTGTGGCGTGATGTAACGTTAACGCTGCGACGTGGTGTTACGTTAACGCTGTGACGTGATGTTACGTTAACGCTATGACGTGATGGTACGTTAACACTGTGGCGTGATGTTACGTTAATGCTATGACGTGATGTTACGATAACACTGTGATGTGATGTTGAGTAAACACGATGACGTTCTTTCAGCTGACAGATTTCTTCCACGTGCCTGACATTAACATCGCGAAGCCATCGCAACTAGAGCGGCGTCTCAAGGCTGAGGTAAGTATTTGATAATTCTGATTATTACACAGCTTGTGGTTTGTTGTTTGTTTGTTGGTGCGTCTGATTTTTACGGTTTAAGTGAGCTGACTCAACCGAGGTTATCCCATTTGCAGATTCAACCGGATTCAACCTGTGGTAATCAAACCGAAGACAGGGCACTACCCGATCTCACGAAATACAAACTTAGATATGATACACAGTGGTTGCCATGAGAAACGCAACTTCCATGCCTGTTATGATAGCTTTACACAGCTGGCATACCATATATTTAATATATTGAATTCGTGCAAAACGACAAGAAAGTTCAAAATAGCACATCAGATATGACAAATGATCATCACACGTTGCATATTGTTTTAATATCTACAATAGATATATACTACCAATACCTTGTTAATGATATTCAGTAAAATGCTTCTATTTACGTTTTATTTAATCAATAAATAAAACTAAACAATTTTAGTAATGACGTTTCGTAGATGTTACGAGCGAGCGAATCACCAAGAGCATCATATCTTATTTCTATATAACGAAAACAAACATAAGCGGGCAATTCCGAATGTAACATAATAAAGGCAGCGATATTTATATTGTCGATTTTTATACACGAGGTCGTTTCTGAGCGCCATGCTGTATTATCGAGGGTATGTTTGTGTTCTGTGTAGGTTTTCATTTGTTGAAATCAAATTTCTGAATCGAGGTGTATAGGAAAGTAAAAGATCTCATTTTAATACGTTTAAAGATTCAAATTGCCAACTCTCCTACATGCACATGGAACTTGTATAGCAGAGGTTTGGGTTGTTTAGTGGACCCTGTTCCCCTGCCTCAGTACCCGTGAAGATCCGGGATAGAACAGGTCTTCAGCAACCCACGCTTGCCGTAAAAGGCGACTATGCTTGACGTAAGGGGCGACTAACGGGATCGGGTTGATGCATTTTATCGTATCCCAATAGCGTGGATCGATGCTCATGATGGCGGTCACTGGATTGTCTGGTCCAGACTCGATTATTTACAGACCGCCGTCTTGTAGCTTGAATATTGCTGAGTGCGGCGTTAAACAACAAATAAACAAAGAAAGGGTATTCGTCTTTGTGGTTAGAGATCGGTCAAGCAACTGACATGAACTGTGCATCGCCATTATCGTTATCTAGATCCTCCTCATCTACGTCACAAATTACAGTGAGTGAGTATGGTTTTACGCCGCTTTTAGCAATATTCCAGCAATATCACGGCGGGGGACACAAGAAATGAACCTCACACATTGTACCAATGTCGGAATCAAACCCGGGTCTTCGGTGTGACGAGCGAACGCTTTAACCACTAGGCTACCCGACCGCCCCTACAAATTACAATAAACCCCCTGCACTCCACTTCTTGTCGGGCGATCAGGTTCCGTGACTTGGAAGATAGCGTGTCACGTTGCTCATTAAATTTACCATCAAATAGTGCTGACTTTGCGTTAAAATATAAGAATTTCAAAACTATTACAGTTTGTTTTCGGTCTTTGAGACAACGACGTACATTGTAGTTGCAGAAACCCTTTTGCGCCCTACACCCTAACCTCTGAATATGTATAACCCACTCTCCATCTTCATTTTAGCTCATCCGGAAAATGAATGCAGACGAAAGAAAGATGAAGAAAATGGAGCTTGACTCTGATAACGACTACCACGACGGTGATGTGACGGAGGTAGATGAAATGGACGCGTCCCGGACGATGTCCTACCGGAAGCGGAACCAGGCGAGTGTGGCGATCCTGTACGCAGCCTTCTTACACCTGCAGGACACGGAGTCCTCGCTGACGTACGCCCTGCGGGTCCTGGAGCCGCCCCGAGACGCCCCGACCTTCTAGGAAGGCCGCCCCGAGACGCCCCGACCTTCTAGGAAGGGCGCCCCAAAGGGACAAAAACGTAGACCAGCTGACACAGCACCCACATCGGTGTTTGACTGTAAAAGCTCGTCAACTCTATCTCCATTATTACATAATGGATGACTCCGCCAGAACTATTGTGGGCACGACAGCTGAATGTCCGCTTGTCTGAAAGTACGGATGATTCGACCATGTTTTCCGTTGTACCCCGGTTTTCGGAGCTTTCATTGTCAAACTTTTAAACGGTTGTTACCATTTGTCGCCACATGACACATAAGTTAAGTAGTCTGTTTCAGCTGTGGTAATGTTGTCAATGCCAGGCTGTGAGTAATCAGGTTACCTGATCAAATTATTACAGAATGACTTCCCCGTGTGGCCCGTCCTGGGCAGCAATACTCTCTATCTCTCTCCGTGAGATACTCTCTGTCTCTTTCCGTGAGGTACTCGCTGTCTCTCCCCGTGTGTACTCTCCCTCCCCGTGTGTACTCTCTGTCTCTCTCGGTGAGGTACTGTCTCTCCCCGTGTGTACTCTCTCTCCATGAGGTACTCGCTGTCTCTCCCCGTGTGTACTGTCTCTTACCGTTAGGTACTCTCCCTCCCCGTGTGTACTTTTCCCTCCCCGTGAGGTACTGTCTCTCCCTGATCAATCGATATCGATGATGCCAGCTCCATTAACTCGTTGTAGGTTAAATTCATAATGCAATATGGTCGCCGAATTCGATTTACCATTCCATTGCTCTAGTGTTCCTTGTTGGTGAATCTACTGATGTCCTTCCCCCAGCTCTAGATTATATCTCCATAGCTCAGTAAAATTAGACTCGATGAAGACGTGCCACATTAAATGACATCACTGTAAATATCATAACCATGTGTATATATGTATACCAAAGACTGAGGAGTCGGGTGGCAGACACGCAGACCTCAATGTGAATAGAAGCGTTGGCTTCAAACTGTCGGAATCTTGAAATGAAATACGAGCATAACGTGCGATGTTCACATGTCGTGAAATCCTAGCGTCAAGTAGGGTACTTTCTTTGATCTGTACATGCTGTTGTCGTCTGCACATGCTGTTGTCGTCTGTACACACCACATCAGAGCACGTATGTGATATAGGAAAACTCTGTCACGTTCTTGTAACAGCCTTCCTAATACCTTGTACAAGATACTGCAAAACCCTATTTTACCACATTCCCTTGACGCAAAAGTAAGTCTTGTTACACAAAGGTAAGGTCTTGTCAGACGAACGTAAGGTCTTGTTACACAAAAGTAAGTCTTTTTACACAAAAGTAAGTCTTGTTACACAAAAGTAAGTCTTGTTACACAAACGTAAGTCTTTTTACACAAAAGTAAAGTCTTGTTACACAAACGTACGTCTTTTTACACAAAAGTAAAGTCTTGTCACACAAAAGTAAGTCTTTTTACATAAAAGTAAGTCTTCTTACACAAAAGTATGTCTTGTCACACAAAAGTAAGTCTTTTCACACAAAAGTAAGGTCTTGTTACACAATAGTATGTCATGTCACACAAAAGTAAGTCTTGTACACAAAAGTAATTCTTGTCACACAAAAGCATTATTAGTTAGAACCTTTCTTTCGTGAACCCCACGTTTCGTTTGACAAACCTTCCATGTGTTAATACACATCCTCTAGAAGCCAACGCTTCCCCTCTTTACGGGTAGTAGTGTGTGCACGTGTGTGTGTGTGCACGTGTGTGTGAGACTGTTTGCTTCCAATGGCTGTGTTAGTTATGTAGATATCATATCATGGCACATGCCTCACTCATGTTGTTATAGCACACTATGTATATATACGCTTTGTGTGTTGTATTTAAGTTAGACTGCTGCGAGTGTGTAGACAGCCACCACAGTGTTAATCGTTCATACACAACGTCACCATGTACGACCTGACGTCTCAATGAGACATCTTCCATATTTCAAAGTGTATATTGATCTGTATCATTTTCTTTAATCAATATCATTATGCACATCGCAACCACACAACGTGTTGTAGGACCTGATGGGCATATCACGAGCATACATGTTACTTTCATCTTGGGGGGGGGGGGGGTGTTATATCTACTCTATAAGTATATACAAGGCAGTTTTTCGTAATGCTATCCACAAGTACTTCTGGTAGCTTTTTCACTGACATTTTGCTTGGTGCAGCAAAGTCGCGCAATTCTTTGTCAAAAACAAAATCTCCTGTCATGGCGGTGAATTTAGCCATGACAGTGTGGATTCGACGCAGGGTAGAGGAATACCATGTACCAACACACAAACTGTCAATGTCTTTATAATAGTAATTCACACATACGTTTCAACGCGTTGGAATATTTATCATGATTCAAGATGGCAGAACATAGCGACGCGGAGACGCGGAAATACAGGGTGTGCATGACGAAATCGTTTTCGTTATCACTTTGTTCTCGTTCAGAGAGTACATGCCTAGGTCACGTGCGTGTGTCACAGGATGTGCTCCACTTTCTCCTTCTATCTGGCTGAGAAGTTTCTAATACTCCTCATTTCCTGGAAATGACATGGTATGTAAACACCGAGGCCAAGTACGGCTGCAGGGGTTAGCGCGGTGCGTTTTTATTGCCCGCATTTGTTATAAATCGTTTTGCCGCAGGCAGTTAAGGAGGTGATTTCACTGACTGAACTATCGCCAGAAAGTCCTCAAAAGAATTTAGTTTAACGTATGCCCCACCCATTCAATCTACTGACAGAGACATACGCATGGACAACAATGACACATTTATACGACTACATGTTGAACACTGCTGCAGGATAGCAGTGGGGATCAAAGCCCACAATACGTCACGTGTCCAGGGTCATCATCATCATCATCATCATCATCATCATCATCATAACCTGGATATTTGGGTTAAATAGGTTTTAAAGTTCTTTGTGAATGCAGTGTTTGCAACATGTTAGCATATATATGTACTCCGTCTCAGTGGACCTCCACAACACATCATCGCTCACACGACCAGCGACAGTCTGAGTGGGTTAACAATGTGACGCAGGATGGCGTGGACACGCTGTATGTGTCATATGATTGATAGTGTCGCTGATGCGGGAAAACGAGCCGATAAGTATTCATATGAGGTCACTTTAAATAGGAATTAAAGTACCTCGATGCCTCACATTCTCGACACGTTTAGATAGACGTTTCCCTGTGTGGGCGCCCTGTGATCAAACATCGCTGTCAATTATTGTATGCCTACTCGGATCTATCATTTGTTTATTTGTTTGTTGTTTAGCGCGGCACTGACGGACCAGACAATCCAGTGATTGATGCTATGAGCATTGATTTGTAACTGAACCCTTCATCGACCACGCTGTGCCATGTCTCATGTCTTGTTGATACATTTTGTTTTACATTTGTACATATTTATTTCAAGTTCAACTTTCTAAATAAATTTCAATGATCTGCTGTCACTTTGTATTTAAATATTTGCTGGAATTGTGGTGTGCCCAATAGTTATAGAAGCCACCCTGTATTAACAGAAGCCACCTGTAGTAACAGAAGCCACCTGTAGTAACAGAAACCACCCTGTAGTAACAGAAGCCACCCTGTAGTAACAGAAGCCACCCTGTAGTAACTGTAGTAACAGAACGAGTGAGTGAGTTGGGTTTAACGCTGCTTTTAACAGTATTCCAGTAATATCAAGGCGTGTCAGCTTAATGTGGGAGAAAAGCCCGAAGTGATGCAGGTCTCAGACGTTTACCACTTCGGTGAAACCCATGAGCACGGGTATGGTGCTGACAAACCTAGAAACATAATCGGGGCGAACCAGGATTCGAACCCACAATCAGGTTAATGGCATGCCCAAGGGGCGCAACTCTGCACAGCGAATCGTGGCGCCTTAGACGACTGGGCCACCCGTTCCCCCCTGTAGTATCTGTAGGAACAGAAGCCACACTGTAGTAACTGTAGTAACAAGCCACACTGTAGTAACTGATGCCACCTGTAGTAACAGAAGCCACACTTTAGTAACAGATGTCACACTAGTAACAGAAGCCACACTGTAGTAACAGAAGTCACAGTATAGTAACTGTAGTAACAGAAGTCATTGTAGTAACTGTAGTAACAGAAGTCATTGTAGTAACTGTAGTAACAAACGCCATACTGTAGTAAGTGAGTGAGTGAGTATAGTTTTATGCCACTTTTAGCAATATTCCAGCAATATCACGGTGGGGGGCACCAGAAATGGGCTTCACACATTGTACCTATGTTGGGAATCGAACCAGGGTCTTCGGCTTGACGAGCGAACGCGTTAACCACTAGGCTACCCGACCGCTCCTACTGTAGTAACAGAAACCACACTGAAGTAACAGAAGCCACACTGTAGCAACTGATGCCACACTGTAGTAACTGTAGTAAAAGCCACTGTAGTAACTGTAGTTAAAGTAGAAACACTGTAGTAACAGGCGCCACCCGTAGAAACTGTAGCAACAAAAGCCACACTAGTCGAAGTAGTAACAGAAGCCACACTGTAGTTACAGAAGCCACACGGTAATAAATGTTGTAACAGAAGCGACTGTAGTAACTGTAGTAACAGAAGCGACTGTAATAACTGTAGTAACAGAAGTCACTGTAGTAACTGTAGTAACAGAAGCCACACGGTTGTAACTGTAGTAAAAGAAGTCACACTGTAGTAACAGAGGCCACCTGTAGAAACAAGCCCCACTGTATTAACAGAAGCCACACTGTATTAACAGAAGCCACACTATAGTAACAGAAGCTGCACTGTAGTAACAGAAGCCACATTGTATTAACAGAAGCCACACTGTATTAAAAGAAGCCACACTATAGTAACAGAAGCTGCACTGTAGTAACAGAAGCCACATTGTATTAACAGAAGCCACACTATAGTAACAGAAGCTGCACTGTAATAACAGAAGCCACACTGTATTAACAGAAGCCACACTGTATTAAAAGAAGCCACACTATAGTAACAGAAGCTGCACTGTAGTAACAGCGGCCACCTGGAGAAACAGAAGACACTTTGTATCTGGAAATAGTCACCATGTCATGTTGGTGCAAATCTTGTGGAACCAGAAGACCTGCAGTTTACGGCATGAGTCATGGTGTACTAGACATCCACTCTCTCCTTGAATCCCATGACATGACAAACGTGGTGTACTAGACATCCACTCTCTCCTTGAATCCCATGACATGACAAACGTGGTGTACTAGACATCCACTCTCTCCTTGAATCCCATGACATCTCCCTGAATCCCATGACATGACAAACGTGGTGTACTAGACATCCACTCTCTCCTTGAATCCCATGACATCTCCCTGAATCCCATGACATGACAAACGTGGTGTACTAGACATCCACTCTCTCCTTGAATCCCATGACATCTCCCTGAATCCCATGACATGACAAACGTGGTGTACTAGACATCCACTCTCTCCTTGAATCCCATGACATCTCCCTGAATCCCATGACATGACAAACGTGGTGTACTGGATATCCACTCTTTCCCTGAATCCCATGACATCTCCCTGAATCCCATGACATGGTCACTCACCATTCCAACCCACAATTATAGGTTTCTGGCATGCCCAAAGGACGAAACTCTGCACAGCAAATTGCTGCGCCTAGACGACCTGTGCTATCTGGACATTGAGAGCATTTACAATAAAATTTTAAGACTCATTCTGTCCTCGTCTACCCTGGGTACTTCCTTAGTTTCCTGTTTGATTTTCAATCTCAGCACACTAGGGAGTATACAGTCCGATGTCTGCGAGGCACCAGGACGTTAACAGTCACATTATATCATCGATTATCCTACCGGGTACCCATTTTCTGCTGGATGACCACAAATCTGCTTAATGAGTCAGTAGAGGTTAAATGCAGATTTAAATACGTAGTTCAATATGAGGTGAAACACTAAACTTTGTCCACAGACAATGAGTTTTCTGCATAATATGTTACAATAGACATTAGAGCATTAAAATACTAGCTTCTGGTTGGTTCAGAATTATGTTCCATGTCGCCTGCTCATGTAATCAGTGAAACTTCGGACATCTATTCCGTGTCTGTATGAATGAGTGAGTGAGTATGGTTTTACGCCGCTTTTAGCAATATTCCAGCAATATCACGGCGGGGGACACCAGAAATGGTCTTCACACTTTGTACCCATGACAGGAATCGAACCCGGGTCTGGGGCGTGATGAGCAAAACGCTTTAACCATTAGGCTACCCTACCTAGACTACCCTACCTAGACTACCCTGTGTGTGCGCCTGACGGCTCGGGGGAACATGGGCTGACAAACATGTCACCATATACCCCTCGAGATTGGTGGACAACTCATATTTTCTGCATAAAGTTTCACAAACATTTGTTCAGTCACAACAGAATCAATGATGAAACTTGATGAAAGATTGTTCAGCTAGACATTTTAACGTCACAGCAAAAGTCACAGCATTAACTTCACAGATCATACAACCAAATGTCAGCATGTTCTGCTCTCCGAAATACTTTAAAAAAATCTCAACATGAGGAAATTTCTGAGTTTGATATATATATATAGTTTGATAACTTGAAAGTGAGTGATTGAGTTTGGTTTAACGCCGCTTTTAACAGTAACCCAGTTATATTGCGGCATGTCAGCTTAATGTGGGAGGAAAGCCCGAAGTGATGCAGGTCTCAGACGTTTACCACTTCAGTGAAACCCACGAGCACGGGTATGGTGCTGACAAACCTAGAAACATAATCGGGGTGAACCAGGATTCGAACCCACAATCATAGGTTTGTGGCATGCCCAAGGGACGCCATTCTGCACAGCGAATCGCGGCGCCTTAGACGACTGGGCCACCTGTGACCCTGAAAACTTGAAAGACATGTATCCCTGTCCACAGAACCACAAACTTGGTACATGTATTATATCAACAACCTGTTACAGGTCTAGCAGATATAGCCGAGGTTGACAACTGAGGGTAGACCTTCGGAAAAACATATTATATATATATGTATCCCTACACCTCACCTAAATCAGTATGGTTTACAGAGAGGCAACAGACAACTAAAGGGAGATAACTGCCTTGTTTGGTATGTCAGACCAAGTCTATTGACCAGATCTTCAGACAGACTGGAATATTTATGTATTGTGTAACATTTTGCCTGTCATATCTTTGAAAACCATTTGGGAGGATATCATTCATCTACACAAGTGCACAAGAAGTGTGATGCACCGCTAGAGGCCTTCACGTCACACAGGCGAGCTGTCTTTGTCTTTCTTAAAAAAAAAAAATGTTTTAAATATATATATATATGTATGGAGAGAGAGAGAGAGAGAGAGAGAGAGAGAGAGAGAGAGAGAGAGAGAATCAGTATTTTGGTGTAATGCTCGTCTGTGTTTGACCACCTGTAGTGTTGCCGAATGGCAGGTAGATCTGTATGGAAAATTACCGCATGGCATTGAGTGTTTTTTTTCCTTTCAGTGAGTGATCCCACTGAGAGATGATTCAGGACTTGGGGCATAGATTTGCATACACAGGAGACCCAGCATCCCGCTAATTTATCTTCATCTTTACAAAAACTAGATTTAGTGATAATTTTTATATTATTAATAGTTCAAGCATGATATTACAAGAATATTGCACTATTATTTCTTAACTATTTCATGTGCCCCAAATATTAAACCATCCATTTTTTTAACAGAATGAATACTACAGAGAATACAGATTGTCGTGGTTGACATGGAATGTAACGCTACAGCTGCGCTACAGTCGCGTGTCGACATGTATGATTCTGTAAAAAAACCCGCTCGCCTGTCAGCTGCAGTAGACATTACCCATGGGTGGAGGATGTTGTCATAGCAACTGCTTAATGTTCGTGTGAACACAGTGAATTAGAACATCAAGTTCGATATCATAACAGTGTTTAATGACTGAAGCACCCTTTAAATAATAACCCGGAATTTGAATTTGAGGTTCAGGGGGTTGACGCGGACTGTAGGGCAGGACCTGGGTCACAGAAACCTCACTGCAGTCTGCTGTTGCATGCAGAACACTACAAGTGTCCCGGAATTCTAACCGAGTTGATACAAAATATTCCAGATATTTCACCATGTTCCTGTCCCTTCAAAGAACCGATTCTTGTTCATGACATGAATGCTGTCAGTCAGGACAAATAAATAGACACGTAAATGTACTGCCGGCCATAAGACCCATACAACCTTGAAACCACGGCGCCATCATGAGATCTACCTCTCACAGGCCTACAGGCCGGCCATAAGACCCATACCACCTTGAAACCACGGCGCCATCATGAGATCTACCTCTCACAGGCCTACAGGCCGGCCATAAGACCCATACCACCTTGAAACCACGGCGCCATCATGAGATCTACCTCTCACAGGCCTACAGACCGGCGCTTATTTCGAATACTGGTAGCTTCAGGAGATGACTCTGGGAAATATTTGTCCGAGGTGGGAACTACCACAAGTAGCCAGCCCGACCCAGATATATATTTGTCTGTTCATCAGAAAGTTGTCTGATTATTTTGCTGGATAGCTGTGCTATTTACACTCCAGACACTGGTTATAACTGCGTACAATCTGAATAAGTCCGAGTAATGATATTGGATGATACATGGCATCTCACACTGGTGTCTTTCGCTAACCCAAATACAAAATACCTGTCTAGATACATTTGACCTCAAAATAGATTCAGGTAACATTCAAACACACTTCAACCACACGTGTGAGGTCCACCATCTACATAGACGGATCCAGGGGGTCCAAGGGGGTCCAGGGGGGTCCAGGGAGTCCAGCCCACCCCCCTTTTGAAAACCAACTGTAGTATGTTGTAGGCAGTAAAATTGATAGAGAGGATTTTGATATTTTGGACCCCTCCCTTTGAAACATGCTGGATCCGCTCTTGATCTAGATGACCTCAGGTCTCTCAGTGTCCCTGGTACTTGGGCGGACGTTTCTCTTTAAAAGCTGTCAAGCCCTCTATCCTGTCCTTGGTTGGAATAACCTGGAAAATACAATCAGTGGGTCTGTCACAGGAAGTTATGTATTTCTCTAAACAACAGTGAATTCTCCGTAGAAATATCTTCAGTGGAAATGCCTCTTACGTGCAGGGATGAGATTGGATATTTTCCTTTTTAGCTGAAACTTCTTGCAATGGAGCGTGTCCATGATTTTGGGGTGTTTATGGGGGGAAGCAATCAGATTTTAACAAATTTGTGGTCACTAAAATTCGCAAAAATTCGCAGATCCGCAGAAGATTCTCACCCCGGTATGTAGACACTGTCCTTTGGTCCGACACGCTCACTATATAAGTGTCATTATTGACATCATGAGCATCAATCCCCGCAATTGGGATACATTGACATGCGTCAACCAAGTCGAGAAGCATAGTGGCCTTTTACGGCAAGCACAGGTTCCTGAAGACCTATTCTACCCCGGATCTTCACGGGTCATCAGTGTGGTACTAAACACACAACTGACTGACTGAGACGTCACTACTCAGTGGAGTCATTAACTGACAACTGGAAGTGCCAACCAGTGTTTGAAATAATTTTAAAACACCAAAAGACCCATAAATGTTGCCTGCCCATCTTCAAAGCTACCTGCTGGCATTCAGACATTATAAATATTGAAAAACTGCAACTAAAGAGTGACACGTTGCATCTAGATTCAGTTTCAATAATACAAACAATCACCTAAGAATCTACAAGGAGTTATAATTGAACTACATACGCGAGTAGTCTTAAAACTATCTGCCAGGCAGTCGGGCAGGTCAAAGAAAATTTCATGCAGCCCAACTAAAAAGTTACCAGCCACGGACAGGCAGTTACTTCAGACACTGGTGGCCATCCCACCTGACACTATTTGCCCTGTTTGTGTCAAACGTATACTTTCAACAGTATTCCAACACGCATCTACTTGGCGGCGTTCCACCTGACACTATTTGCCCCTTTAATGTCAAACGTATACTTCCAACAGTATTTCAACACGCATCTACTTGGCGGCGTTCCACCTGACACTATTTGCCCCGTTAATGTCAAACGTATACTTCCAACAGTATTCCAACACACATCTACTTGGCGGCGTTCCACCTGACACTATTTGCCCCATTAATGTCAAAAGTATACTTCCAACAGTATTCCAACACGCATCTACTTGGCGGCGTTCCACCTGACACTATTTGCCCCGTTAATGTCAAAAGTATACTTCCAACAGTATTCCAACACGCATCTACTTGGCGGCGTTCCACCTGACACTATTTGCCCCGTTAATGTCAAAAGTATACTCCCAACAGTATTCCAACACGCATCTACTTGGCGGCGTTCCACCTGACACTATTTGCCCCGTTAATGTCAAAAGTATACTCCCAACAGTATTCCAACACGCATCTACTTGGCGGCGTTCCACTCACCTGGGCGTAGTAGGCTTCCTCAAACTTCAGACCAGACTCGAGCTCCACCTGGTGGGAAAAGAAAACTCATCATGACTACCCCGAACAAGAAAACAGCGTTATCACTATCTCCGGCCATGGGGCACATCAGAATTTTGTTTATTCATATAGTAGTGAATATAAATTATATACAAAAGGAGTCTATAAAAATTTATGAAGGGATGGGCACAAGGGGCGCTTTATGTAATCAGAAAAATAATAAAATGTAAAATGAATATACAAAAAAAAAAACTTGTCTGGAAAAAATAATTTAATTTCTAATTTAATCAGTTTTGATGAGTATCTCTTAGATAAGGTAACTACAGTACTTTCTGAAAAAACTTTTTCCCATCACAGACTCATCATGATATACAACTCACCATGACAACCTCGAATAAACAACTCACCATGACAACCTCGAATAAACAACTCACCATGACATCCTCGAATAAACAACTCACCATGACAACCTCGAATAAACAACTCGCCATGACTACCCTGAATAAACAACTCACCATGACAACCACACAAGCTTGAAATCAGACTACTCAGTGTTAGAAATTGGCACTAGTCCTGTTGTCCTTGCCAAACTGCCCAATATTTAAGGTATCATAAGGACTAGTAGAAATTTGCCATTTTAAGGGTTTTGCCATATGTTGTCAGCATTAGGAACTAGTGGACTAAAAAGTTTAGCTTCCATTACTGCTACTGCACTGTGTCAGACTTGAGACAGACTTAAGTCCACTACTTAAGTCCACTACTTAAGTCCACTACTTAAGTCCTTCTGTAATGGCCTTCAACTAAACCAGCTGAAGTTTTGTCAGTGTTTTCAAGTACACAATTCAGGAAACTAACAAGCACATGGGTTTATTTGTTTCAGGGAGTACGACAGTAAATACCAACAGTTTACCTCCAAACCCCTGTTGATTGCCTGTTTTGCCATCCTGAGTGCAATAGGACCCTGCAAAGAAACAAAGGAATAAACAACAACAACAACAATGATATTACTACTGAATCACAGGATGCATCAACAATCTCCGCTCTCTGTGAATTGGATTAAACTTGCAGGAAGTGTGTGTGGTTATATCACATGGCCACCAACATTGGTTATCACATGGCGTCAACATTGGTTATCACATGGCGCCAACATTCGTTATCACATGGACGCCAACATTGGCTATCACATGGCTGTCAACATTGGTTATCACATGGCAACCAACATTGGTTATCACATGGCACCAACATTGGTTATCACATGGCACCAACATTGGTTATCACATGGCCACCAACATTGGTTATCACATGGCCACCAACATTGGTTATTACACAGCGACCAGTATTGGTTATCACACAGCGACCAGTATTGGTTTTCACATGGCCACCTATATTGGTTATATCACATGGCGATCACCATATCACATGGTGATCAGCATTGGTTATCACATGGCGCCAACATTGGTCAGTTCATGGTCACAGCCGACCTCCTTTATCCGTTTCAACTCTACCATGGCTTTGCTTACACAGAGTATTCCTGTAAAGGATTATTCCATAATGTCTACATAAGGAAGTCCTTCATTCTCTGTAAACTTTCATAAACCTGACAAATATCAGTTGCAGACTGAAACAATGCCATCATACTTATATCACATTAACAACAAAACAAAACCATATGCTCATAAAACACCAAAATTCAATTAAGTCTGTTCATCTTAACATTGCTCTCTCATAAAACCTTGAATGTAAGGCCATTTGGCAACAACACACTTATGCTAACAACCAGATCATAAGGTTGATGTATGTCATTATTAAACTGCATCCACGTTTCAGATTTGAACACTCTTCAATACTGGTCAAAATGTCACTACACATATCCACACGGCACTCCAACATCAACCGCCTCCGTGGTCTAGTGGTAGAGCGTCCGCCCGGAGAGCGGAAGGTCCGGGGTTCGATCCCTGGCCGCGTCATACCAAATGACGTTAAAAGATGGTACTTGTTGTTACCCTGTCTGGCGCTCGGCATTAAGGGGCTAAAACAAGGACTGGTCGGCTCGGAGTCAGTATACTGTGTCTGAGTGGGGTATTCGTGTTAAACTGACTGCGGCATGGTATCTCAGTGGGCTAGCACTATAAATCGGCATCAGTCCGGACTAGTACAAGCAGCCACACAAACACACACACGTACATGCACGTCGCTATATAAGTGCAATAATCTTGGCCGCGACGTTAAACACAATTTCACCTCACCTCACCACTCCAACATCCTCGGCATTCACTGCTCACCTGAGGTAGTATTTCCTCCGCAAGTGCCAGCGACCTCTGATAGGCTGCATCACCAGCCTCATTCTGATCCACACAATGGTTGACCAGTCCGATTTGTGCCGCCTGCTGACCATCCAACACCCGCCCTGTGTAGATCAGTTCTTTGGCCAGCGCTGGTCCAAGCACCCTCGGCAACCGCTGTGTGCCTCCTGTGTGGACAGAAAGTTGGTCAGACAGCTGTGACACCGAGGTCACAGGAACCAGGGGTTGACAGTGTGATAAACCGTCTGTCTTTAGTGAGACTGTGTTGATATCTGTGACATTTCCCATAGGACATATCCTGTGTGTGATATATCCCATGTGACACATCCTGTGTGTGATATATCCCTTGTGACACTTTCTGTGTGTGATATATCCCATATGACTCATCCTATGTGTGATATATCCCATGTGACACATCCTGTGTGTGATATATCCCATGTGACACTTTCTGTGTGTGATATATCCCATGTGACTCATCCTGTGTGTGATATATCCCATGTGACACTTTCTGTGTGTGATATATCCCATGTGACAAATTCTGTGTGTGATATATCCCATGTGACACATCCTGTGTGTGATATATCCCATGTGACACTTTCTGTGTGTGATATATCCCATGTGACACTTTCTGTGTGTGATATATCCCATATGACTCATCCTGTGTGTGATATATCCCATGTGACACTTTCTGTGTGTGATATATCCCATGTGACACTTTCTGTGTGTGATATATCCCATGTGACTCATCCTGTGTGTGATATATCCCAGGTGACACTTTCTGTGTGTGATATATCCCATATGACTCATCCTGTGTGTGATATATCCCATGTGACACATCCTGTGTGTGATATATCCCATGTGACACTTTCTGTGTGTAATATCTCCCATGTGACTCATCCTGTGTGTGATATACCCCATGTGACACTTTCTGTGTGTGATATACCCCATGTGACACTTTCTGTGAGTGATATATCCCATGTGACACTTTCTGTGTGTGATATACCCCATATGACTCATCCTGTGTGTGATATATCCAATGTGACACTTTCTGTGTGTGATATATCCCATGTGACACATTCTGTGTGTGATATATCCCATATGACTCATCCTGTGTGTGACATATCCCATAGGACATATCCTGTGTGTGACATATCCCATAGGACATATCCTGTGTGTGACATATCCCATAGGACATATCCTGTGTGTGATATATCCCTTGTGACACATCCTGTGTGACATATCTAGTGTCACATAGAGGAAATCTTGAAATTAATGTGTCTCCAAATTGATATGTCTGCTGATTCCTAGCCAAAACTTTGACTCAACATTAAAGTCTATCGGTAAGAGTTGGGTCGTGTCGATCTTTGACGCAGTGGGTGGTGTCTGTCTGGACTGCTGGAGTGGTCAATGATGCCTAGTTTGACATGAGTGGGTAGAACTCTTTGCCTCAGCAGTGATAACTCACCGGATGCCTATTGTGTAATTTCTATTCTTTGAATGCCATTGTTATATACTTGTTACCACTGCTGCTTAATAAACCATGATGTGGAATATGTAGTTGTTTGTGTTTATATTCATGTTGGTATTTTCACTATCCAAAGGCCGTCTTATTGTTGACAGTCATTTTAGAGACATAATGCTAACTTTAGTAAATGCATGCAAAGACCACTCGCATTTGTTGCATTTAGTTCACGTTCTTGTTAATTTCAAGATTTACAGTATCCAGTGTGACATACCCTGTCTGACATATCCCGTGTGACATACCCCGTGTGACATACCCCGTGTGACATATCCCGTGTGACATACCCCGTGTGACATATCCCGTGTGACATACCCCGTGTGACATACCCCGTGTGACATATCCCGTGTGACATACCCCGTGTGACATATCCTGTCTGACATACCCTGTGTGACATACCCTGTCTGATATACCCTGTGTGACATATCCCGTGTGACATACCCTGTGTGACATACCCTGTCTGATATACCCCGTGTGACATATCCCGTCTGACATACCCTGTGTGACATACCCTGTCTGATATACCCCGTGTGACATACCCCGTCTGACATATCCCGTGTGACATATCCCGTGTGGGCCGCCAACATACTGACCTGCCCCAGGAATGATCGCCAGCTTCGTCTCCACCAGACCCATCTTGGCTGTAGTTGCTAAAACCAGACAACAGGAGGCATCATTTCACACCATAGTGTCCAGAATCTAGATTCATTTCTTAGAGAGAGTATTGCCTTCAGGGGGAACCTGATTCAAGTCAATCCACTAGTTGTAACAATCATCTCGCCTACCGCTTTAACATGACAGATTCCATCTTTGGTTTATCTGAGACACTGGTTTGCAATCAGGCGACTCCTTTGGTGGCCACATCACTCACATTTCAAAATACATAATGAGGACTTTAAAGACCCCCCGCACACCACAACCCCACTGTTCCCTGAACCCCCCAATTACCAATCTCACTGGTGTTAGCGACACGAAGCTCACAGCCTTGACCTCATCAATGTTCCCCATCCACCACCAATCTCTCACTGGTGTTTCACCTACATGCAACACGAAGGTCACAGCCCAAGGCCATCTCCAGACCTCCACCCAGAGCAGCGCCATCTATGGCTGCTATGACGGGGACGGGAAAGTTGTGAATCTCGTTGACAGTCCCTCGCAGCTTCTGTACGAAGGACGCCACCTGTGGATTGGTCATCTGGGCGCGTTCCTTCAAGTCAGCACCTACAACACAGCAACACTCATATCTGTCCTGATTCTGACATCTTCCCGAGGCAAGAGAGTTACCTGACTATAAAAGTCCAGTTTCCACCCTTGCCGAACTAGGCTGGTATTATGGAGTCTATACATAGTCCAATCAAAATCACACAACGAAATCAAAACCTGATTCATACACTGTCGTGCAGATATCGGTATATTGCAGGATATGCAAAGCATGTGCACCGCTAACTCGTTGTCAACAGATATTTTCCAAACCTTTCATGTTTTTAATCAAGGTGCTTATGTGATTTGATGCATTCCGCAATGTAAAAGGCCTGTTTTATCACAATATAAATCTTGATTATTAACCAGATAGTCCTAACTGTGCACCGCCATACTGTTTGAAGCAAATGCAAGTGATACGAATCTGATTGGTCAATAGGAGAGGCTTAGAAGGGACATAACTGGTAATAGCCACTGGTGGCGCTACCATCGAGGTCAGGAATTCCAGCCTTGTTCGGCAAGGTTTGAAACTTGACTTTAAAGTAAGTTAACTCTCTTGCCTCGGGCAGATGGATTCTGAGGACTTGATACAGTGCCAAATCTACTGCAACTTATGAGAAACATTTAATGGTACACACTGTTTGTTCATATCCACACTTTTATGTTATTTTGAAATAAGGAAACACCCAACTTTATGGATAACAACTTCTGGTTTACTCCATATAGCAAAGTTTTGATGTAGATTCTTACACCGTTATCAAGCTGAAAATTGGCATAAAAATCGACATCAAAACATCGCTAAATGCAGTAAATTAGAGGATCCATGTTGTATGTTTTCTTATTTACCCACCAACTTTTAGACAGTTATTTCAAAATATGTATTCAAACTTTATCTATGCATCCTCTGACTACTTTTTATGGGATTCCATTCAAAGGTACTAGATCAAGGGCACATTATGGTGAACCAGTGAATGTTGTGTTATGCCGCAGCTGGCAATATTCTCGCTGTATCTGACCCTCCTGCATATGGAGAGTGTGAGCAATGATTCAGTGATACGATACAGGGACTGTCTGTGATACGATACAGGGACTGTCTGTGATATGATAAAGGGTCTGTCTGTGATATGATAAAGGGTCTGTCTGTGATATGATAAAGGGTCTGTCTGTGATACTATACAGGGTCTGTCTGTGATATGATACAGGGTCTGTCTGTGATACGATACAGGGACTGTGTGTGATACAATACAGGGACTGTCTGTGATACGATACAGGGTCTGTCTGTGATAAGATACAGGGACTGTCTGTGATGCAGGGTCTGTCTGTGATACGATGCAGTGTCTGTCTGTGATACGTTGCAGTGTCTGTCTGTGATATGATGCAGGGTCTGTCTGTGATACGATGTAGTGTCTGTCGGTGATACGATACAGGGTCCATCTGTGATACGATACAGGGTCTATCTGTGATACGATACAGGGTCTATCAGTGATATGATACAGGGTCTATCTGTGATACGATACAGGGTCTATCTGTGACACTTACCTGCACAGAACACTCCAGGTACTTCACTCCGAATAATAAGAGCTCGGACACTGGTGTCAAATTTCACCTCCTCCAGGCCCTCGATCATCTGTAAAAACAGGGAATGAGTGAGTGGGTTGGTTTATGTTGCTTCGAAAAGTAATACAGTAATAGGTCAATTGAATGGGGAAGGAATGCCTTAGTAGGCTAGAGGAAAGTCCATGAGTGTTGTGGGAGGAATGCCTGTGTGTCTCGGAGGAATGTCTGTGTGTGTCGGAGGAATGCCTGTGTGTGTCGAAGGACTGCCCATCATAGCTGTTGAAGGAATGCCTGTGAGTGTTGGAGGAATGCCTGTGAGTGCTGTGGGAGGAATGCCTGTGAGTGTTGTTGGAGGAATGCCTGTGAGTGTTGTGGGAGGAATGCCTGTGAGTGCTGTGGGAGGAATGCCTGTGAGTGTCGGAAGAATACCTGAGTGTGTCAGAGGAATGCCCATGAGTGTTGTGGGAGGAATGCCTGTGAGTGTTGTTGGAGGAATGCCTGTGAGTGTTGTGGGAGGAATGCCTGTGAGTGCTGTGGGAGGAATGCCTGTGAGTGTCGGAAGAATACCTGAGTGTGTCAGAGGAATGCCCATGAGTGTTGTGGGAGGAATGCCTGTGAGTGTTGTGGGAGGAATGCCTGTGAGTGTCGGAAGAATACCTGAGTGTGTCAGAGGAATGCCCATCAGTGTTGTGGGAGGAATGCCTGTGAGTGTTGTTGGAGGAATGCCCGTCAGTGTTGTGGGAGGAATGCCTGTGAGTGTTGTTGGAGGAATGCCTTTGAGTGTTGTGGGAGGAATGCTGTGAGTGCTATGGGAGGAATGCCTGTGAATGTTGTTGGAGGAATGCCTGTGAGTGTTGTGGGAGGAATGCCTACGAGTGTTGTTGGAGGAATATGTGTCAGTGTTGTGGGAGGAATGCCTGTGAGTGTTGTGGGAGGAATGCCTGTGAGTGTTGTGGGAGGAATGCCTGTGAGTGTTGTGGGAGGAATGCCTGTGAGTGCTGTGGAAGGCATGCCTGTGAGTGTTGTTGGAGGAATGCCTGTGAGTGCTGTTGGAGGAATGACTGTGAGTGCTGTGGGAGGAATGCCTGTGAGTGTTGTGGGAGGAATGCCCGTGAGTGTTGTGGGAGGAATGCCTACGAGTGTTGTTGGAGGAATATGTGTCAGTGTTGTGGGAGGAATGCCTGTGAGTGTTGTGGGAGGAATGCCTGTGAGTGTTGTGGGAGGAATGCCTGTGAGTGTTGTTGGAGGAATGCCTGTGAGTGCTGTTGGAGGAATGACTGTGAGTGCTGTGGGAGGAATGCCTGTGAGTGTTGTGGGAGGAATGCCCGTGAGTGCTGTGGGAGGAATGCCTACGAGTGTTGTTGGAGGAATATGTGTCAGTGTTGTGGGAGGAATGCCTGTGAGTGTTGTGGGAGGAATGCCTGTGAGTGTTGTGGGAGGAATGCCTGTGAGTGTTGTGGGAGGAATGCCTGTGAGTGCTGTGGGAGGAATGCCTGTGAGTGTTCGGGGAGGAATGCCTGTGAGTGTTCGGGGAGGAATGCCTGTGAGTGTTGTGGGAGGAATGCCTGTGAGTGTTGTTGGAGGAATGCCTGTGAGTGTTGTGGGAGGAATGCCTGTGAGTGTAGAAATGAGGCTGACTCATGTGATGAATTCTGTTACCTAAACAATACATAACAGTATTCTTAGCTGACCACTGTTGTGTACTTGATGTTTCTACATGTAGCATGACCGTTGGTCTGACAGTGTGTTTGATGTGCACATTGTGTTAAGATCAGGCACAATCACCAGGTTGGTAATCACTTCAGTGTCAGTCAATGTTTTGTCAGTTTTATTGCACAATTATCAGTGACAATTCATTGCAAAGGAACCATGTAAACATATTTGGCATGATACTGCCTGTCTGCTGACTGTTGTCTGTGACTGAACAAGATGGCATCCTTCCTGAACTTCCTCTTCCTGAAACGTGACATCATGGTAGTTTCTGTATCCTCCTTCCCTTCTATCATAATTACACACTCATCACACCTCTCCCCTTCTATCATAATTACACACTCATCTCACTTCTCCCCTTCTATCATAATTACACACTCATCTCACTTCTCCCCTTCTATCATAATTACACACTCATCTCACCTCTCCCCTTCTATCATAATTACACACTCATCTCACTTCTCCCCTACTATCATAATTACACACTCATCTCACTTCTCCCCTTCTATCATAATTACACACTCATCTCACTTCTCCCCTTCTATCATAATTACACACTCATCTCACTTCTCCCCTACTATCATAATTACACACTCATCTCACCTCTCCCCTTCTATCTTAATTACACACTCATCTCACCTCTCCCCTACTATCATAATTAGACACTCATCTCACTTCTCCCCTTCTATCATAATTACACACTCATCTCACCTCTCCCCTACTATCATAATTACACACTCATCTCACTTTTCCCCTTCTATCATAATTACACACTCATCTCACTTCTCCCCTTCTATCATAATTACACACTCATCTCACCTCTCCCCTTCTATCATAATTACACACTCATCTCACTTCTCCCTTTCTATCATAATTACACACTCATCTCACTTCTCCCCTTCTATCATAATTACACACTCATCTCACTTCTCCCCTACTATCATAATTACACACTCATCTCACCTCTCCCCTTCTATCATAATTACACACTCATCTCACCTCTCCCCTTCTATCATAATTACACACTCATCTCACCTCTCCCCTTCTATCATAATTACACACTCATCTCACTTCTCCCCTTCTATCATAATTACACACTCATCTCACCTCTCCCCTTCTATCATAATTACACACTCATCTCACTTCTCCCCTTCTATCATAATTACACACTCATCTCACTTCTCCCCTTCTATCATAATTACACACTCATCTCACCTCTCCCCTTCTATCATAATTACACACTCATCTCACCTCTCCCCTTCTATCATAATTACACACTCATCTCACCTCTCCCCTTCTATCATAATTACACACTCATCTCACTTCTCCCCTTCTATCATAATTACACACTCATCTCACCTCTCCCCTTCTATCATAATTACACACTCATCTCACCTCTCCCCTTCTATCATAATTACACACTCATCTCACTTCTCCCCTTCTATCATAATTACACACTCATCTCACCTCTCCCCTTCTATCATAATTACACACTCATCTCACTTCTCCCCTTCTATCATAATTACACACTCATCTCACCTCTCCCCTTCTATCATAATTACACACTCATCTCACCTCTCCCCTTCTATCATAATTACACACTCATCTCACTTCTCCCCTTCTATCATAATTACACACTCATCTCACCTCTCCCCTTCTATCATAATTACACACTCATCTCACCTCTCCCCTACTATCATAATTACACACTAATCTCACCTCTCCCCTTCTATCATAATTACACACTCATCTCACTTCTCCCCTTCTATCATAATTACACACTCATCTCACTTCTCCCCTTCTATCATAATTACACACTCATCTCACTTCTCCCCTTCTATCATAATTACACGCTCATCTCACCTCTCCCCTTCTATCATAATTACACACTCATCTCACCTCTCCCCTTAACACCCATAAGTATCATGTTCTTTTTCTTAAAATCTCGTTTGTAAGAAAAAGGAAAACTTATAACTCTAAACATGCTCAATGCTGATTAAATGTGCTTGATATCTTATCAGCCCTTGGATTTCCGACGATTATGCTATAATTCTTATTGGAATATTGAAAGATATTTGCGTCAATTTTAAAAAATATATTAAACAAATCCAAGTCATCATATGGTACTACATCTACATCAAGAATGTCAAGCCCAGCAGCAAGATTATTAAACCCACCCTTGTCACATCTAAACTAAATATACATTCAATGATCTTTTGTTCAAGATGATACACTTTCAAGGAAAAAATCATCCTGACAGCCAGAAATAAATGTGAAAATGTTGAATTGACAGACTCCACCCCACAGACATTCATCGGTTTCAGTATTTTAACAGACCCGTGAAGATCCGGGGTAGAATAGGTCTTCAGCGACCCATGCTTGCTGTTAAGGCGACTATGCTTGTCGTAAGAGGCGACTAACGGGATCAGGTGGTCAGGCTCACTGACTTGGTTGATGCATGTCTTCTATCCCAAGTGTGATGTCAATCACTGGATTGTCTGGTCCAGACTCGATTATTTACAGACCACCGTCATATAGCTGGAATATTGCTGGATGCGGCGTTAAGCAACAAATACACAAACAAACATTATTTTAGCAACACTGAGCCATTGTTGTCTACTATATTAAGTTAATCGACAACATTAGGATAGATGAACAAGAACACAGTCACCTGATCTATAGTGTGGGCTGGAAGCAACATTATTGTCATGGAGACAACCCCAGTCTGTGATACGGAGGGTCAATTATAGTAACAGCTAGTCAGGTCACGCCCTGGTGGAACGGCTCCATTCAGGCAACACATACTGAATATGGACGAGCCCTAAATACTGGGAGTTTATAAGAGCGGAGCATTTATCATGCTGTTAACAATCTTCAAAACATTGACCCTATCCATGAAGCAGGAACACTGTTCTACCCTGATAACTCTAGCTGTGCAGCGCAGTGTCTGAATCCATGTTCAGGGCCCCATGACTTCAATATGGATATATGGAAATGAATATGATCTCACCATCTTGATGATGTTTCTCCCCATGGAATTCCTGGCTTTGAACCGACGCATGGAAAACACAACAATTCCTGGAACAGTGATTAATGTCCAATATTTAGGAAAGTGAGAGAGAGAGAGGGAGATGGGTGGGATGAGGTGAAATGGGGTTTAACGTCCAGTCCAAGATTATTGCACTTATATAGCGACGTGGGAGGGAGGGAGAGAGAGAGTGAGAGAGGGAGGAAGGGAGAGGGAGAGGAAGGAGAAAGAGTGAGAGAGAGAGAGAGAGGGAGAGAGATGGAGAGAGGGAGGAAGGGAAAGAGGGAGAGGGAGAGAGAGGAAGGGAGAGGGAGAGAGAGGGGAGGGAGAGGAAGGAGGAAGGGAGGGAGTGGAAGGAGAGAGAGAGAGTGAGAGAGAGAGAGAGAGGGAGGGAGATGGAGAGAGGGAGGAAGGGAAAGAGGGAGAGGGAGAGAGAGGAAGGGAGAGGGAGAGAGAGGGGAGGGAGAGAGAGAGGGGAGGGGGAGAGAGAGAGAGAGAGAGAGAGAGAGAGGGAGAGAGAGAGAGAGAGGGAGGGAAGAGAGAGGGAAGAGAGAGAGAGAGAGAGACAGACAGACACACACACACATGAAAATATCCACTTTGCAGGTCACTTGATGAGATAAACATGTTATCAGACCAGAAAGACAAACAACATCTACATATTTGTTTTCCATCACCAAATACATGCAGACATGAAATAGCAACATGAATCACAGTTGCAAATATTTCATTCTGAGTTATAAGCAGGGTTAGAAATTGGCACTAGTCCTGTAGTCCTTGCCAAACTGCCCAATGGTAAAGGTATCATAAGGACTAGTAGAAAATTGCCATTTTTAAGGGTTTTGCTATATGTTATCATTATAAGGACAAGTTGACGAAAACTGTTAGTTACCGCTGAAAATGCACGTTTATTTCATATTGGACAGACTTGGAGATGTTCTTCCTTCCCTTTGAAGCTGTTTCTATGGTTATAAGTAGCTTACATGGATGTCAGTCGTATACACACTCTAACCAAGCTAACTCTACCTTTCTGATCGCCATCCAGGTAACTGATACTGAATTCTTCACTGTTTTGTTGGGGAGAAAACAGTGCACTTTCTTCAACTTTTGAATCTGCCATATTCTCCTCAGACATCAACTTTGAATAAGCTTCTGCGGTATCCCCCACCCTCTGTGTATCATGGAGCTGAGGAATGATTCATTTGTATGCGAAGGAGGACATGACGTCATAAGTTTCACTTTCCCCAAATTAGAACCAATGAATGATCCTAAGCAAGGACTTTGAATTCCTGACTGATATTGACGTTCAAAACATCTCTTTTGTTTTTTATCTTCATGAAGACATGTAGAACCAGCATATCATTTTCCAAACCATGGAAACCTAAAGTTTTTTGTAATTTCAGAGGCCAAATAACTAAATTTCAAGCACACAGCCATAAAAAGCACATCAGATCATATCCCCGTACAACTCCGTAGATAGCATATCATTTTGCAGACTTATGAAAATACATTAAACTATGGTTATAATGAACGCGCTTGTAACAAACTGACGGATATAATGAACTGTATTTTTGGTCCCGCTCAATTGCTGTATATACACTGTATATGCTCATAACGAACTAACATAGCTGTCACATTGAGTTCGTTATAGACATAGTTTACAGTATATAATTCAATTTCTAACCCTGTTGGCTTAATATTAGTTTTTGTGTTCATAGTTCGAGTAAACATAACAAACTGCGTTCACACTTTACGAAAACATGTCACAAGGATGTACACAGTGTGCACTCCCGCCTTTACCTACATTGGATTACACGAAGGGCTAATTTCTTGGAAACAACGTGAGTCAACCACTGACAGAACATCAATTTACATCCTCGACCGGTGACCAGGTGAACCTCAGCGTCAGACCGTATCTAATCACAGTCTAATGTCCACACTATAACCGCCATGTTACATTGCTTCGTCATCAAGGGTTATAACTGTCATCTGGTCGTAGGATAGCGTCAGTGCACCAGAGCAGGTAGTAAACACTGACTTGCCGAATCTACCCTTGTTCGATCACCTCACGTTTCTCAACAAAACATCGCCCGACTGCACTCACAGTCACACCGAGTCGTCCCCGCACCATCAACATTACCCTTACTCTGTACCTTTGCGATCGCCATCCAAATAGTTGAGGTGAAATTCATCTTCTAATGGTTGTGGGGCATCTGTTTTGATCTTTCTACTAGCTGTCACCCCTGTAATTCTTGTCAGGAGGGTGCCGGACTTACGAACATGACCCAGCATCACTCTTGTTAGACTGGAAGCTGCCATCTTGAATTTGACATTTGACCTTTGACATTAGTTGAACTTGGGGCTATTCCAAAACATGGATTGTGCACGGAGCAACAAGAGCCTTCTCATGAAGGAATCGGATCAAGGAAAACAAATAAACGTAAACTCCATGGCATATTACATCTTGATATATTCCAGCTCTAATTATGTTTTCATGCATACACGTAGATAGAATGTAGATGACTGTGGCGTGTACATTTGAATTTATCATCCAACATAGCCCAACAAATACATCATAATATATACTACTCAAAAGAAGTTAAGGATCACCTGATTCTTTCATATTACAATAGTTAATCTCTCATGTCATGACAGATTAACATTACCAATATGAAAGAATCGGGTGATCCTTAACTTCTTTTGAGTAGTATATATATATATATAAATTCAAATGTACGCGTGTTTGTTTATATTAAGGAAGCGGCTCACTTGACTGCGACATCCGTTCATTTGAGCTATATGACTAGACCTGGCTTTCAAACACGACATTCCGTGTAATACCCCTGTGTATCTTATGTCAGCAAGTTAAAAATGTATCATTCACCTACCTTTTAAACTCTCATTATGCGATATTGTGTTGCGGATATTTTTGGACATTGACGATTTCCACAAATGTTATTGTAATTAAAAGATCGAGATAGCCAGTGCTCCAGTAAAGACATAAAAAAACGAAAGAAACTTTCATTCCGATAAATAAAATATATATGTTGTTCTGAAATAGTAGAATTTGTAAAGTGGACAGGTAACTATATAGAGATGGCTGAATTTGCTCAGGTCGTTCATATTTTTCATTACATTCATGGCCCTTGTCGAACGTATGTTACCGAGATATTATGACGTCTAGGTTGGAAGAAGGAAGAATTCACGTGGGGGTAGTCCTGCACCATGACTGTGGAATTTATGTTTTTTAGGTATTCTTTTTACTAACAGCCTAGGCAAGTCTAGATCAAACTAATCAAGTCTAGTTTGCTTGAAAACAACAGAAAAAAGAAAGGTTCTTTCGAAATAAATGTTTTTATTATTTCAAAGACATGTTTTCATTGACTAAGTGTTTGTCTAAGGTGGGGGTTTCATGGAGGATTCGTGGCATCTATTCTGTCTGTAGGTCAATCGGGAATATGACAATATATAATCAAATGATAATATGTAGCTGTAGCGGCCATACAATTTCCGAGTCCCATGATGGGATTCGAACCACGGTCCTTCTGATCCGAGGTTGGACGCATTGTCCACATGACCAAAGAGGTTAACCCCGTCAGCAAGCTGACAAGGTAAGGATGTCATCTGTGGTATGACTCCACGCCCTGCTACATACTCCCCCGTCAACAGAAGGCACGTCCCGGGCTGCATAGTAGGGTACTGAGGCTTATTTTGCTCACATTTAATATGAACATGCTCAGCCCCACGTTGGGCGCCAATGTAGTGGCCATAAAATGTCCGAGTCCCGCGATGGGATTCGAACCCCGGACCTTCTGATCCGAGGTTGGACGCGTTGTCCACATGACCAAAGAGGTTAACCCCGTCAGCAAGCTGACAAGGTAAGGATGTCATCTGTGGTATGACTCCACGCCCTGCTACATACTCCCCCGTCAACAGAAGGCACGTCCCGGGCTGCATAGTAGGGTACTGAGGCTTATTTTGCTCACATTTAATATGAACATGCTCAGCCCCACGTTGGGCGCCAATGTAGTGGCCATAAAATGTCCGAGTCCCGCGATGGGATTCGAACCCCGGACCTTCTGATCCGAGGTTGGACGCGTTGTCCACATGACCAAAGAGGTTAACCCCGTCAGCAAGCTGACAAGGTAAGGATGCCATCTGTGGGATGACTGCACGCCCTGCTACATACATATATAACTTTTTGCCTCCAACAGATCTATTGTTGACCAGAGCACAGATTCTGCAGCCTGTGAGGACACGGGCGTCCCTGAGTACACTGTCACAGAGAATGGATCCAGAAGGGTAAATCACTCTTACTAGATCACCATTGCAACACAAATGTTCACAAAGTAAGTAACATAAGAGAAAATGTCTCAGTCTGCTGAAGATCTAATCTATGAACTGTAATACAACCAAGTCTTTGAAAGGCATTTAGAAGTGATACACATAAGGTAGAGAATTTATGGTTGGTTGGTTTGTTGTTTAACGCCGCACTCAGCAATATTCCAGCTATATGAAGGCGGTCTGAAAATAATCGAGTCTGGACCAGTGAGTCCAGTGATTGATATCATGAGCATCGATCCACGCAATTTGGATCGATGGCATGCATCAACCAAGTCAGCGAGCCTGACCACCCGATCCCGTTGGTCGCCTTTTACGACAAGCATGGGTTGCTGAAGACCTATTCTACCCCGGAATCTTCACGGGTAGAGAATTTATGGATGTTGACCTCTTTATCATTGAGGAATACAACGTTTCGGAGTATATGCTTTCTCTTTCATCAGGTGAATGATAAGGGAGTAAGCATGTACTCCGAATCGTTGTGTTTCCTCTTTCTTCTGTGCATATTCTCAACACTTTCTTCACTGTATCATACAGGCACGTTCATTTAATTATTACTTTATTTATCTGTAAACTTAGTACACTATGTGTTTTAAGCATTGTTGTTGTGTGCAGTATTTTAGCTAGCATTGTATCATGACATTGTAATGTATTCTTAATTCAACTAATGTGTATTTGACTGAGGTATTAACCAAGTTTTATAATATGGATATAAACTGATTAGAAGTGATATATGTATATGTATCATGTATATATGTATGGTATTTTGTAGAATTTATAATGCTAGTATTCCATACATGCTACTGTAACTGTAGGTATGGTATATGTATATGTAGTATACTTATTTGTGCGGGACTATTCACTGTACGTCTTTAAAAGAGAGTTGAGCCTGCATCCCTGAGACGAAGCATGATATTTATCTTTTATTATTTGTGCACGATTAACTCTTTATAAAGTGTAATGTGTTTTATCTAGAGGGATTTGCACAAGTATATATGCCAAAAGGAATGAACTGTAAATATAAAGGTATTACAGTAGAACCCGGATATAACGAACCCGGACATTATTTCGTTTATTGTGTTTTGTCTTATCCAAGATGGCGGACGTTTCCGAGCGAAAACGTGTATAACGAACAACGGATATAACGAACTGATTTTTCTGGTCCCTTGTAGTTCGTTATATCCGTGTTCTACTGTATTACTATTGTTGTTATCTCGTGCCTTTATACTGCTCATACCCATGGTGTTTATTATCAAATTATGTTTTAGGGCAGATCGACTACCTTGTAGTACCCGCTCCACGCTCATTCAAATAAATCCCTTTTGACCCTACAAATATTCCCTTATCATTGAGACGACCACAAGTTCCGCTGTTACACATTAACAAGAGATAACTGAACAAGCAAAAAATACAGAGTGCTAGAAAAAATCGATTCCTCAATAAATAGTCACAACTATGAGATTCGAACGAATTACATTGTATTTCGAAATTTGTCCAAAAAAACTCTCGATCAAAGGAATCTATAGTAAAAAGATACGAAAATGTCATGTAACAAATATTATGGGTTTTAAATTATCCTAATGACGTACAAATTCTGGTTAATTTAAGAATTGACTTTCACTTTGTGTGAGTTCACTGGAGTATGAACTTTCATAGAGTGACGGCCAAACTGTATGAACGTCGGAGCTTGGTCTAAAAATGCGCGAGTGTCATTTGGCCTAGGGATGAAGTCTTTATGAACAGAACGACTTGCCGTGTTCCTGTAAATACAATGATATTGGACAGGGTGTGATATGTGATCGTGTTAGGAATGGGGATAAGAATTGTTTCCTTGCCTTTTGGGATAATTAACAAAATAGTGTGGGAAAATGTCACCGAGGCTGATTTGTAGACTTCCGGAATATTTATATTTCTAATTT